GGGAAGGATAAAGTAGAAAATTTTAGAACCCCCGTCTTATTTTAATTGCTAATAAAGAGGTAAAATGGTTTAAACTGTAAAATATGCCAACTCACTAATCAGTGCGGACCTGCAGCAATGAATTAATCAAAATAAAAAAGGTGACTGGAATACGAGTCAAAGGGAACTTGCTTTCACAGGACATTAACACGGTTGCATCAAATACTAAATTAACTAAGTTAAATTAAATAAAACCATATTTCTAATTGACAAATATTGAATGAAAATAGTACCATAAAGCACACACACATACAGTCATGGCCGAAATTGTTGGCACCCCTTGATATTTCTCCAGGAAAATCATGTATTTCTCACGAAACGTATTGCATTAACACATGTTTTGCTATACACATGTTTATATTCCCTTTGTGTGTATTGGGACAAAACAAAAAAAGGAGGAAAGAAAGCAAATTCGACATAATGTCACACAAACCTCCAAAAATGGGCTGGACAAAAGTATTGGCACCCTTCACAACTGCGGATAAATAAAGAATGTTACAAGCATGTGATGCTCCTTTAAACTCACCTGGGGCAAGTAACCACAGGTGTGGGCAATATAGAAATCACACCTGAAAGCAGATAAAAAGGAGAGACGTTCACTTAACCTTTGCATTGTGTGTCTGTCTGTGCCACACTAAGCATGGACAACAGAAAGAGGAGACGAGAACTGTCCTGAGGACCTGAGAACCAAAATTGTGCAAAATATCAACAATCTCAAGGTTTACAAGTCCATCTCCAGAGAACTAGATTTGCCTTTGTCCACAGTGCGCAACATTATCAAGAAGTTTGCAACCCATGGCACTGTAGCAATCTCCCTGTCGTGGACGGATGAGGAAAATTGATGAAAGATTGCAACGCAGAATAGTCCGGATTGTGTGGATAAGCAGCCCCAAACATGTTTCCAAAGACATTCAAGCTGTCCTGCAGGCTCAGGGAGCATCAGTGTCAGCGCGAACTATCCGTCGACATTTAAAATGAAATGAAACGCTATGGCAGGAGACCCAGAGGACCCCACTGCTGACACAGAGACATAAAAAAGCAAGACTACAGTTTGCCAAAATGTACTTGAGTAAGCCAAAAGCCTTCTGGGAAAACGTCTTGTGGACAGATGAGACCAAGATAGAGCTTTTCGGTAAAGCACATCATTCTACTGTTTACCGAAAACGAATGAGGCCTAACAAAGAACAAAACACAGTACCTATACGGTAAAATATGGTGGAGGTTCAATGATGTTTTGGGGTTGTTTTGCTGCCTCTGGCACTGGGTGCCTTGACTGTGTGCAAGGCATCATGAAATCTGAGGATTACCAAAGGAATTTTGGTCGCACTGTAGGGCCCAGTTGTCAGAAAGCATGGGTTTGCGTCCAAGATCCTGGGTCTTCCAGCAGGACAATGACCCCAAACATAATACGTCAAAAAGCAGCACTCAGAAATGGATGGCAAAGAAGCGCTTCGGAGAGTTCTGAAGTGGCCAGCAATGAGCCCAGATCTAAATCCCAATGAACACCTGTGGAGAAGATCTTAAAATTGCTGTTGGGAAAAAGGTGTCCTTCCAATAAGAGAGACCTGGAGCTGTTTGCAAAGGAAGAGTGGTCCAAAATTCCGGGTGAGAGGTGTCAGAAGCTTATTGATGGTTATAGGAAGCGACTGATTTCAGTTATGTTTTTCCAAAGGTGTGCAACCAAATATTAAGTTAAGGGTGCCAATACTTTTTTGTCCAGCCCATTTTTGGGGTTTTGTGTGACATTATGTCATATTGCTTTTCTGCCTCTGCCTCTGTTTTATATTTGTTCCAATACATACAAAGGGAATAAACATGTGTATAGCAAAACATGTGTTAATGCAAATACCTTTTTTGTGTGAAATACTTGATTTTCAGGAAAAATATCAAGGGTGCCAACAATTTCGGCGGCCATGACTGTATGTAAATACTCTTCTTCTACAACATGGAATATATATGTGATGATTTTGTATACTATTTTCATTGAATATTTGACATTTAGAGATATTTTGTATTTACTTATTAGCAGGACTGACAACTCATGGGGCCCCCGGGCAATAGGGATCATGGGGCCCCTGTGTCCTTGCCCAAACTCAAAAAAGCCTAAAAAAAAGGTACCAGGGGCATCTCATGGGGCCCCCTACTGACCCCGGGCCCCAATTGGGCAGTGCCCATATTTCCAAATGGTCAGTCCGCCCCTGCTTATTAGTATAAACTAAAAGAAAAACTTTTTTTTTTATTTGCATAGGGTGGAGAGGTATTAGAACACCTATTAGGTTTTTATTGCTGTCACAACCTATTAGGGAGATTGACCCCCTGCATTTGTGCTGTTTATCATTAACCACTTGCCCTCCAGAGGATTTACCCCCCTTCCTGACCAGGCCATTTTTTGCATTACGGTGCTGTGTTACTTTTAACTGACAATTGCGGTCATGCCACGCCGCACCCAAATTAAATTTGCATCCTATTTCTCCCACGAATAGAGTTTTGTTTCAGTGGTATTTGATTGCCTGTGCGGCGACTTATAGCGGGACTGCAGGATTGCAACAGGCATTTAGATACTGGGGGGAACTGACTTGGTGTCACTGACATCCCCAGTGACACCAGTAAAGTGATCAGTGCTAATAAAAAGCCCTGACACTGTACTAATGGCACTGGGCATGAAGGGGTTAACATCTGAGGCAATCAAAGGGTTAACTGTGTGCTGTGTGTCATTTTACATTATGTTCAGTGTGTGTGCTTCACTGTAAGCACACTGCTTTGCATGGCGGTGCTGAGCACAGCCATGCAAAGCAGTGTGCAGGAGCTGACAGGGAGAACTGTTTTGTTTGCTAACAGTTCTCCCCCTGTCAGAGATGCTCAGCAATCACCGGGTGCAGACGAGTAATCACTGGCTGGGACCTGGTGATTGACAGCCATGGCTGCAAATGGCGGTGTGAGTAGGGAGCGCAACCCCTACCAGGAAATGCAAAATCACTTATGTATATTGATTTTGCACACAGCCTGTAGCAGTATTTCTGCTATGGGGCAGAGCTAAAGCGATTAAAAGTGAAATGAAAAGAAAATACCACATTTCGGATTGTCCCCAGAAAAGTAAATAGAGGGGACATCTTTCAATGGGGACACTAGTTCTGGTGACCTGGGGGACCCCAAGAGGTTCCCTTAACCACTTGTCTACCAGGCACTTATACCCCCTTATTTACCAGGCCAATTTTCAGCTTTCAGCGCTGCCGCACTTTGATTTACAATTGCGCGGTCATGCAACATTGTACCCATATGAAATTTTGATCATTTTTTTTCTCACAAATAGAGCTTTCTTTTGGTGGTATTTAATCGCCACTGGGCGCTTTACTTTTTGCGCTATAAATAAAAAAAGTGCAAAAAATGTGAAAAAAAAAAAAAGTTTCTTTGTTTCTATTATAAAATTTTTCAAACAGGTATTTTTTCTCCTTCACTGATGTGCGTTGATGAGGCAGCACTGATGGGCACTGATAGGCAGCACTAAAGGGCACTGATAGGCAGTACTAATGAGGTGGCACGGATAGGCGGCACTGATAGACAGCACTAATGAGGTGTCACGGATAGGCGGCACTAATATGCAGCACTGATAGGCGGCACTGATAGGTGACACTGATGATGGGTACTGATAGACGGCCCTGACTGGCATCACTGCTGGGCACTGACTGGCGGCACTGACTGGCACAACCCCTGGGCACTGATTGGCGGCACTGACTGGCAGCACTGCTGGGCTGCACTGGTGGGTGGCACTGGTGGGCAGCACTGGTGGATGGGCACAGGTGGGTGGCACTGGTGGGCACAGGTAGGTGGCACTGCTGGGCACAGGTGTGTGACACTGCAGAGTGGCACAGGTGGGTGCACTGCTGGGCACAGGTGGGTGATCTGTTGGGCACAGGTGGGCGGAGCTAGTGGGCGCACTGCTGGGCACCGATCATCAGGGCACTGATCATCAGTGCCCTGGTGATCGGTGCCGATACCCGCTCTGACAACTGCCGGTTCTCGGCAGTACTTTCCTCACGATCTGACAGCGTGAGGAAAGTGCAGCCGAGAACCGGCACTTGCATTTCCCTCTGATCAGCGTGTCATTGGACACCGCTGATCATGTGGTAAAAGGCCGCTGTGATTGGCCTTTTACCACATCACGTGATCAGCTGTGTCCGAAGGACACAGCGATCACGGAGATCGCCGGGTGCACGCCCCCTGGGTGCGCGCCCCGTCATATGACGTCCACTCAGAACTGGCCGGCCGCAGTGCAGCCGTCATTCGGCTATCTGCGGACGGCAACTAGTTAATTTGTAGGGATTTTCTATCACTTCCTGTGTTGACAGTGGGACAGGAGGTGAAGGTAAATCTACCCAATAGGACACAGATGACAAAAACCCTCCATTACTCTATTCAAAATATTAAATAACGTTTTGTCTTTAATTACACTTTCAAGCAGCCTTTCTCAACCTTTTCAACACAGAGGATCCTTTGAAATAACTTTCCAATCACAGGAAAACTCCTGCTAAAATGACTATATTTACAACTCATGATACATTAGTGTGATGGTCAGTGGGAAGAATACTCCTTACACTTGTGATCACTTGGAAGAATTATCCCCTTATACAGGTAAAATTCAAAAAATTAGAATATTGTGCAAAAGTTCATTTATTTCAGTAATGCAACTTAAAAGGTGAAACTAATATATGAGATAGAATCATTACATGTAAAGCAAAATAGTTCAAGCCGTGATTTGTCATAATTGTGATGATTATGGCTTACAGCTCATGAAAACCCCAAATCCACAATCTCAGAAAATTAGAATATTGTGAAAAGGTGCAATATTCTAGGCTCAAAGTGTCCCACTCTAATCAGCTAATTAAGCCATAACACCTGCAAAGGGTTCCTGAGCCTTCAAATGGTCTCTCAGTCTGGTTCATGGTTCAGTAGGAATCACAATCATGGGAAAGACTGCTGACCTGACCAGGGGCGGACTGACAACTCATGGGGCCCCCAGGCAATAGGTGATCATGGGGCCCCTGTGTCCTTGCCCAAAGTCAAAAAAGCCTATGAAAAAGGTACCAGGGGCATCTCATGGGGCCCCCTACTGACCCCGGGCCCTCGGCAGTGCCCGAGTTTCCAAATGGTCAGTCCACCCCTGGACCTGACAGTTGTGCAGAAAACCATCACTGACACACACCATAAGGAGGGAAAGCCTCAAAAGGTAGTTGCAAAAGAAGTTGGATGTTCCCAAAGTGCTGTATCAAAGCACATTAATAGAAAGCTTTGTGGAAGGGAAAAGTGTGGAAGAAAAAGGTGCACAAGCAGCAGGGATGACCACAGCCTGGAGAGGATTGTCAGGAAAAGGCCATTAAAAAGTGTTGGAGACTTTCACAAGGAGTGGACTGAGGCTGGAGTCAGTGTATCAAGAGCCACCACACACAGACGGATCCTGGACATGGGCTTCAAATGTCGTATTCCTCTTGCCAAGCCGCTCCTGAACAACAAACAACGTCAGAAGCACCTTACCTGGGCTAAAGAAAAACAGACCTGGTCTGTTGCTCAGTGGTCCAAAGTCCTCTTTTCTGATGAGAGCAACTTTTGCATCTCATTTGGAAAGCAAGGACCCAGAGTATGGAGGAAGAATGGAGAGGCACACACTGCAAGATGCTTGAAGTCCAGTGTGAAGTTTCCACAGTCTGTGTTGATTTGGGGAGTCATGTCATCTGCTGGTGTTGGTCCACTGTGTTTCATTAAGTCCCAGGGTCAATGCAGCCGTCTACCAGGGGATTTTGGAGCACTTCATGCTTCCTTCCGCAGACGAGCTTTATGGGGATGCTGACTTCATTTTCCAGCAGGACTTGGCACCTGCCCACACTGCCAAAAGCACCTGGGATTACTGTGCTTGATTGGCCAGCAAACCCGCCTGACCTAAACCCCATAGAGAATCGATGGGGCATTGCCAAGAGAAAGATGAGAGACATGAGACCGAACAATGCAGAAGAGCTGAAGGCCGCTATTGAACACCTCAGCAGTGCCACAGGCTGATAGCTTCCATGCCACTCTACATTGAGGCAGTAATTGCTGCAAAAGGGGCCCAAACCAAACACTGAGTATATATGCATGCTTATACTTTTCAGAGGTCCGATATTGTTCTATGTACAATCCTTGTTTTATTGATTGCATGTAATATTCTAATTTTCTGAGATTGTGGATTTGGGGTTTTCATGATCATCACAATTATGACAAATCACAGCTTGAACTATCTTGCTTTGCATGTAATGAGTCTATCCCATATATTAGTTTCACCTTTTAAGTTGCATTACTGAAATAAATGAACTTTTGCACAATATTCAAATTTTTCGAGTTTCACCCGTAGATAGCTAAAAAGATCAATGGTTTCAGTGGGAATTTGTCAGTGGGAAGATCTCTGTAAAAATAATTGTGAAAAAAAGTAAAGTATCCCCACTACATATGACATATGTTCTAACAAGGGATTAGACCATTGTGATATGCATGGATATTGTATAATGTTTGGAGTGACTGGAAGGTTTTTTGCAGCAAATGATGTATATACTTGTATATACACAAAAAAGTATCTGAAGATCTGGCAAAATGACAAGAGAAAATGGATAAATATAGGCAAAACTTTTTTTTATTCATTTTGGATAGACTAAGGGAGGGTTATAACCCCTGTGAGGTTTTTTTGCCATCTGTGTTCCATTTGGGAGATTTACCTTCATTTCCTGTCTCATAGACAAATTAGGAAGTGAGTGGAAATCCCTACAAATTAAAGGAATCCCTTGGGGCCCACAGGTCACCAGAACCAGAGAGTCCCCATTGGAAAAATTCCCCTTTACTACTGTTCTGGGGACAACCCAAAATTTGGGATTGTCTTTTACTTTCACTTTCAGTGATAATGGTAAACAGGACAAATGAAGGGACAGACAGCAGTAAAAACCTAATAGGTGTTTTAATACCTCTCTACCCTATGGAAAACTAAAAAAAAAGATTTTTCCTCTAGTACAGTATACTATTAAGCAAATACAAAATATTTCTAAATGTCAAATATTGAATGAAAATAGTATACAAAATCACGCATATATATATATAAATACCCTTCCTCCACTAATAAAAATACATTGTTGCAGAAGATGAGTATTTATACTGTATGTGTGTGATTTCTGATAGTATTTTCATTCAATATTTGACATTTAGAGATATTTTGTATTTACTTAATAGTATAACATCCACCTCCACACTATCCAAAACTAAAAAAAAAAAAAAAATCTTTTAGTTATACTTTAAGTAAATCAATGCCCAATGATTTCCATATTTCCATATTTCCATATTTAGGTTTCTATGCATTACTGTTGAAAGAAATGAACCAAAAAGGTAGAGACTTCTCCAAATCGGCTTTTTATATTTCCACATTCCTTAAGTACTGCATGTCTTGATGGCTGCTTAATTACCGCATGCATTTAATTATTTATTTCCTTTTGTGAATGGACTTTATCTTCTTTTCATGCGGTATTTCCCAAGCGTTTTGCAGTAAATTCCACAAAACGACTTAGTGAATTGACAGTTTCAGGATCCTATGTGATATTTAGGGACCTAAATACCACATATTATCTGCTTTAGTGAATGGAGCCTATTGTCTCTTCACTAGTGACTGTTTACTGAATAAAAGATGTAATTTGTTGGTACAGCTTCAATGTAGTACAAATCCTGATTCACACTTCTATTCTCTCCCATAAAGAACACCATGCTGGTCTTTGGTTGTGCTGCGATATCATACCTTTAAAATTAGTTAAAATCCATCCTTACAAAGTGGATTTAATGTTCCATTGCATGGAATCCATATGGGATCCCACCAAAGGGTTACTTCTCCAAAATGTTAACTCGCACGCATACACACAGATATTTATGTAGGTTCAGCTAAATAGATGCATATATGTCAAGACACATTTGTAAAGCCTTACAATTCACAAAGCAGTCATACCCGCCTACCGAAAGTGTAGGCATCCAAGAGTAACACAAATTGACCTCCTTTACTGTGTCTGTTTTGTTGTCTCCTGCATTTCACCGGTTTACTACGAGCAGTTAGCCTTTGCTGGCTATACACTATACAATTTTCTTAAATTTTTTCTGTCCAATTTCTGCCCAGTTTTCTTTACATTTACCTTCAACTATGCAGTGAAAGGGCCTGCCTGATTGGATACAATTGAAAGTGTTGTTTACGTTTAACCTCATATTTAGAGATGAGCGAAGTATTCAAAAATTCGATTCGACTGATTCGGCGAATTCGTGGAAAAATTTTGATTCGAGTCGAATATATTTGCTGCAAATTTAACTTATAAAAGGGTGTTTCTAGGCTTCAGAGAGACTTTATATTAGTGCAGAACACTGTACCTTTAAATTAAATGCCCTTGGAGTCTGCTGGGGAAGAGAAATAATATTGACAGTCAGTATGACATGCAGATGAGTGCCGTCGATCTTAGAATCACCACACACTTCACTCATTTGGGCAGTCACGGGGCCAAAACCAGAGTGTGGAGCCACAGTGTGGCGGTGGAGGCAGCAGCAATGGGAGGCCATACAGCACCCTATGACAAAAATGGAAACCACCAGCAGTGTGAGGAGACCTGAAAGTGGCACATGGCAGAGTGTGGCGATGGAGACAGCAGCAATGGGAGGCCGTACAGGGACCCATGAGACACTCTGGACCTGGCAGCAGCATGAGGAGGCGGTATAGCCCATGGTACAGCAGCTATGGGCCCATGGCCAGCATATACAAAAAAATGGGGCAGTGTGAGGAGACTGGCAGCAGCGATGGAGACAGCAGCAATGGGAGGGTACAGGGACCCATGACAGATTACGGGCCTGGCATGCAGCAGATGGGAGGCCGACAGGGACCCATGACCCGTAATCTGGCACCCTGGCAGCAGCACCATGAGTGTGGCGAAAGTGGCCTACAGTTTGGGGCATGATTCATGGCAGATTTAGTCAGTTGTGTCAGGAACTGGTGGTTTGAAATCCAGCAATCCAGCCGATTCATTTTCACCCACGTGAGTCTCTCCACACTTTGGGTGGACAGTCTCTGTCCTCCGCGGAGTTGCAATACCTCCTGCCGCACTAAACATCGCGCTGAAGATGCCAGCTACTGGAGGGGATGACAGCCCTTTCAACGCAGCGGAATATTGGGGCAAAAGGTCAAGTTTCGTTGCCCAGTAGTCAAGGGGATTGTCTACCTGGCAAGCAGGGAGCTGTCCAAGTAGGCCTAAGCCTGTTGTTTGAGGTCCTGCTCCAGGTCCCACCTGATGCTGCTGCTGCTGCTGCTGCGGGCTGGTTAGTAGTTTCCCTCACTGCGCTGGTGAAGAAAGCTACTCATCATCGACTGCAGACTGAGGCAGCTGCTGCTGGTGGGAGCTGCCACTGCTCCTACCACCCCACACCCTCCCCTGCTGCCATGGCAGCGGAAACGCGAGCGCACAGGGCCCACAGTGTCTGAGGATGGACCTTGGCGCAGACAGGCAGAGACCAGCTGACTACATAGGTGGTTTTTATAGTACGTTATTTTGGCCTCCCTCTCAGCAGGTGTGAAAAAGGCCACCATTTTTGAACGGTAGCGAGGGTCCAACAAGGTGGACAGCCAAAAGTCATCCCTCTGTCTGATGGTTATTATTCGGCTGTCGGTACGCAAGCAAGCGAGCATGCTATGGGCCATTTGTGCCAAGGAATGCGAGGGACTCCCTGCCTCCATCTCCACAGCATACTGCCACGGTGCGTCTGGGGTCCTCTGTCTCCTCTTCCTCCTCCTCTACCAGATGCTCCTGCTCCTCCACTCCTGTCCGCTGAGTGGAAAAACCACCCATTTCACTCAATAATTCCTGAGCACCAATGTCCTCCTCTACCTCCTCCTCTTCTTCCTGTCCTGCCCCCACAGGGGTCATGTGGCGTTGAGATCTGTGCGCCACGTCTACCGCACCCCTGACCAGCCATTGTTAACAGCATTTGTTCCAGGACGTGCAACAGAGGAATGACGTCGTTCATCCCATAGTCCTGCCGACTCACGAATAGCGTGGCCTCCTCAAAGGGCCTGAGCAAGCGCAGGTGTCACGCATGAGCTGCCAATGGCTGACATCTAAGTTACACAGGGAGTACCTTTATATCGCTTTTAACATCAGGAAATCTGTGATGGCCTTTTGCTGTTCGTAAAGGCGGTCTAACATATGTAGGGTTGAATTCCACCTTGTTGCAACGTCACAGCATGAGGAGTCGGTACGGGGGCCCATGGCAGATTAGGGCCTGGCAGCAGCAATGGGAGGCCCGTAATCTGCCAGCACCCTATGTCAAAAAAATTCAACACACCAGCAGTGTGTGAGGAGACCTGAAAGTGGCACATGGCAGAGTGTGGCGATGGAGACAGCAGCAATGGGAGGCCGTACAGGGACCCATGAGAGACTCTGGACCTGGCAGCAGCATGAGGAGGCGGTATAGGGGCCCATGGCAGATTAGGGGCCTGGCAGCAGCTATAGGAGGCCCGTAATCTGCCAGCACCCTATGTCAAAAAATTGAACACACCAGCAGTGTGAGGAGACCTGAAAGTGGCACATGGCATGGTGTGGCGATGAGACACAATGTGGACCCATGAGAGACTCTGGGGCAGCAGCATGAGGAGGCGGTACAGGGGCCCATGGCAGATTAGGGGCCTGGCAGCAGCTATGGGAGGCCCGTAATCTGCCAGCACCCTAATGTCAAAAAAATTCACACACAGCAGTGTGTGGAGAGACCTGAAGTGGCACATGGCAGAGTGTGGCGATGGAGACAGCAGCAATGGGAGGCCGTACAGGGACCCATGACAGACTCTGGACTTGGCAGCAGCATGAGGAGGCGGTATAGGGGCCCATGGCAGATTAGGGGCCTGGCAGCAGCTATGGGAGGCCCGTAATCTGCCAGCACCCTATGTCAAAAAATTCAACACACCAGCAGTGTGAGGAGACCTGAAAGTGGCACATGGCAGAGTGTGGCGATGGAGACAGCAGCAATGGGAGGCCGTACAGGGACCCATGACAGACTCTGGACCTGGCAGCAGCATGAGGAGGCGGTATAGGGGCCCATGGCAGATTAGGGGCCTGGCAGCAGCTATGGGAGGCCCGTAATCTGCCAGCACCCTATGTCAAAAAATTGAACACCAGCAGTGTGTGAGGAGACCTGAAAGTGGCACATGGCAGAGTGTGGCGATGGAGACAGCAGCAATGGGAGGCCGTACAGGGACCCATGAGAGACTCTGGACCTGGCAGCAGCATGATGAGGAGGCGGTATAGGGGCCCATGGCAGATTAGGGGCCTGGCAGCAGCTATGGGAGGCCCGTAATCTGCCAGCACCCTATGTCAAAAAATTGAACACACCAGCAGTGTGAGGAGACCTGAAAGTGGCACATGGCAGAGTGTGGCGATGGAGACAGCAGCAATGGGAGGCCGTACAGGGACCCATGAGAGACTCTGGACCTGGCAGCAGCATGAGGAGGCGGTATAGGGGCCCATGGCAGATTAGGGGCCTGGCAGCAGCTATGGGAGGCCCGTAATCTGCCAGCACCCTATGTCAAAAAATTGAACACACACAGCAGTGTGAGGAGAGACCTGAAAGTGGCACATGGCAGAGTGTGGTGGCGATGGAGACAGCAGCAATGGGAGGCCGTACAGGGACCCATGAGAGACTCTGGACCTGGCAGCAGCATGAGGAGGCGGTATACAGGGGCCCATGGCAGATTAGGGGCTGGCAGCAGCTATGGGAGGCCCGTAATCTGCCAGCACCCTATGTCAAAAAATTGAACACACCAGCAGTGTGAGAGGGACCTGAAAGTGGCACATGGCAGAGTGTGGCGATGGAGACAGCAGCAATGGGAGGCCGTACAGGGACCCATGAGAGACTCTGGACCTGGCAGCAGCATGAGGAGGCGGTACAGGGGCCCATGGCAGATTAGGGGCCTGGCAGCAGCTATGGGAGGCCCGTAATCTGCCAGCACCCTATGTCAAAAAATTGAACACACCAGCAGTGTGAGGAGACCTGAAAGTGGCACATGGCAGAGTGTGGCGATGGAGACAGCAGCAATGGGAGGCCGTACAGGGACCCATGAGAGACTCTGGACCTGGCAGCAGCATGAGGAGGCGGTATAGGGGCCCATGGCAGATTAGGGGCCTGGCAGCAGCTATGGGAGGCCCCGTAATCTGCCAGCACCCTATGTCAAAAAATTGAACACACCAGCAGTGTGTGTGAGGAGACCTGAAAGTGGCACATGGCAGAGTGTGGCGATGGAGACACAGCAGCAATGGGAGGCCGTACAGGGACCCATGAGAGACTCTGGACCTGGCAGCAGCATGAGGAGGCGGTATAGGGGCCCATGGCAGATTAGGGGCCTGGCAGCAGCTATGGGAGGCCCGTAATCTGCCAGCACCCTATGTCAAAAAATTGAACACACCAGCAGTGTGAGGAGGAGACCTGAAAGTGGCACATGGCAGAGTGTGTGGCGATGGAGACAGCAGCAATGGGAGGCCGTACAGGGACCCATGGAGGGACCCATGAGAGACTCTGGACCTGGCAGCAGCATGAGGAGGCGGTATACAGGGGCCCATGGCAGATTAGGGGCCTGGCAGCAGCTATGGGAGGCCCGTAATCTGCCAGCACCCTATGTCAAAAAATTGAACACACCAGCAGTGTGAGGAGACCTGAAAGTGGCACATGGCACAGTGTGGCGATGGAGACAGCAGCAATGGGAGGCCGTACAGGGACCCATGAGAGACTCTGGACCTGGCAGCAGCATGAGGAGGCGGTATAGGGGGCCCATGGCAGATTAGGGGCCTGGCAGCAGCTATGGGAGGCCCGTAATCTGCCAGCACCCTATGTCAAAAAATTGAACACACCAGCAGTGTGAGGAGACCTGAAAGTGGCACATGGCAGAGTGTGGCGATGGAGACAGCAGCAATGGGAGGCCGTACAGGGACCCATGAGAGACTCTGGACCTGGCAGCAGCATGAGGAGGCGGTATAGGGGCCCATGGCAGATTAGGGCCTGGCAGCAGCTATGGGAGGCCCGTAATCTGCCAGCACCCTATGTCAAAAAATTGAACACACCAGCAGTGTGAGTGAGGAGACCTGAAAGTGGCACATGGCAAAGTGTGGCGATGGAGACAGCAGCAATGGGAGGCCGTACAGGGACCCATGAGAGACTCTGGACCTGGCAGCAGCATGAGGAGGCGGTACAGGGGCCCATGGCAGATTAGGGGCCTGGCAGCAGCTATGGGAGGCCCGTAATCTGCCAGCACCCTATGTCAAAAAATTGAACACACCAGCAGTAGTGTGTGAGGAGACCTGAAAGTGGCACATGGCAGAGTGTGGCGATGGAGACAGCAGCAATGGGAGGCCGTACAGGGACCCATGACAGACTCTGGACCTGGCAGCAGCATGAGGAGGCGGTATAGGGGCCCATGGCAGATTAGGGGCCTGGCAGCAGCTATGGGAGGCCCGTAATCTGCCAGCACCCTATGTCAAAAAAATTGAACACACCAGCAGTGTGAGGAGACCTGAAAGTGGCACATGGCAGAGTGTGGCGATGGAGACAGCAGCAATGGGAGGCCGTACAGGGACCCATGAGAGACTCTGGACCTGGCAGCAGCAGAGAGGGCGGTATAGGGGCCCATGGCAGATTAGGGGCCTGGCAGCAGCTATGGGAGGCCCGTAATCTGCCAGCACCCTATGTCAAAAAATTGAACACACCAGCAGTGTGTGAGGAGACCTGAAAGTGGCACATGGCAGAGTGTGGCGATGGAGACAGCAGCAATGGGAGGCCGTACAGGGACCCATGAGAGACTCTGGACCTGGCAGCAGCAGCATGAGGAGGCGGGTATAGGGGCCCATGGCAGATTAGGGGCCTGGCAGCAGCTATGGGAGGCCCGTAATCTGCCAGCACCCTATGTCAAAAAATTGAACACACCAGCAGTGTGAGGAGACCTGAAAGTGGCACATGGCAGAGTGTGGCGATGGAGACAGCAGCAATGGGAGGCCGTACAGGGACCCATGAGAGACTCTGGACCTGGCAGCAGCATGAGGAGGCGGTATAGGGGCCCATGGCAGATTAGGGGCCTGGCAGCAGCTATGGGAGGCCCGTAATCTGCCAGCACCCTATGTCAAAAAATTGAACACACCAGCAGTGTGAGGAGACCTGAAAGTGGCACATGGCAGAGTGTGGCGATGGAGACAGCAGCAATGGGAGGCCGACAGGGACCCATGAGACACTCTGGACCTGGCAGCAGCATGAGGAGGCGGTATAGGGGCCCATGGCAGATTAGGGGCCTGGCAGCAGCTATGGGAGGCCCGTAATCTGCCAGCACCCTATGTCAAAAAATTGGAACACACCAGCAGTGTGTGAGGAGACCTGAAAGTGGCACACATGGCAGAGTGTGGCGATGGAGACAGCAGCAATGGGAGGCCGTACAGGGACCCATGAGAGAGACTCTGGACTTGGCAGCAGCATGAGGAGGCGGTATAGGGGCCCATGGCAGATTAGGGCCTGGCAGCAGCTATGGGAGGCCCGTAATCTGCCAGCACCCTATGTCAAAAAATTGAACACACCAGCAGTGTGTGAGGACCTGAAAAGTGGCACATGGCAGAGTGTGGCGATGGAGACAGCAGCAATGGGAGGCCGTACAGGGACCCATGAGAGACTCTGGACCTGGCAGCAGCATGAGGAGAGGCGGTATAGGGGCCCATGGCAGATTAGGGGCCTGGCAGCAGCTATGGGAGGCCCGTAATCTGCCAGCACCCTATGTCAAAAAAAAATTGAACACACCACACAGCAGTGTGAGGAGACCTGAAAGTGGCACATGGCAGAGTGTGGCGATGGAGACAGCAGCAATGGGAGGCCGTACAGGGACCCATGAGAGACTCTGGACTTGGCAGCAGCATGAGGAGGCGGTATAGGGGCCCATGGCAGATTAGGGGCCTGGCAGCAGCTATGGGAGGCCCGTAATCTGCCAGCACCCTATGTCAAAAAATTGAACACACCAGCAGTGTGAGAGAGACCTGAAAGTGGCACATGGCAGAGTGTGGCGATGGAGACAGCAGCAATGGGAGGCCGTACAGGGACCCATGAGAGACTCTGGACCTGGCAGCAGCATGAGGAGGCGGTATAGGGGCCCATGGCAGATTAGGGGCCTGGCAGCAGCTATGGGAGGCCCGTAATCTGCCAGCACCCTATGTCAAAAAATTGAACACACCAGCAGTGTGAGGAGACCTGAAAGTGGCACATGGCAGAGTGTGGCGATGGAGACAGCAGCAATGGGAGGCCGTACAGGGACCCATGAGAGACTCTGGACCTGGCAGCAGCATGAGGAGGCGGTATAGGGGCCCATGGCAGATTAGGGGCCTGGCAGCAGCTATGGGAGGCCCGTATCTGCCAGCACCCTATGTCAAAAAATTGAACACACCAGCAGTGTGTGAGGAGACCTGAAAGTGGCACATGGCAGAGTGTGGCGATGGAGACAGCAGCAATGGGAGGCCGTACAGGGACCCATGAGAGACTCTGGACCTGGCAGCAGCATGAGGAGGCGGTACAGGGGCCCATGGCAGATTAGGGGCCTGGCAGCAGCTATGGGAGGCCCGTAATCTGCCAGCACCCTATGTCAAAAAATTGAACACACCAGCAGTGTGAGGAGACCTGAAAGTGGCACATGGCAGAGTGTGGCGATGGAGACAGCAGCAATGGGAGGCCGTACAGGGACCCATGAGAGACTCTGGACCTGGCAGCAGCATGAGGAGGCGGTACAGGGGCCCATGGCAGATTAGGGGCCTGGCAGCAGCTATGGGAGGCCCGTAATCTGCCAGCACCCTATGTCACAAAAAATGAACACACCAGCAGTGTGAGGAGACCTGAAAGTGGCACATGGCAGAGTGTGGCGATGGAGACAGCAGCAATGGGAGGCCGTACAGGGACCCATGAGAGACTCTGGACCTGGCAGCAGCATGAGGAGGCGGTACAGGGGCCCATGGCAGATTAGGGGCCTGGCAGCAGCTATGGGAGGCCCGTAATCTGCCAGCACCCTATGTCAAAAAATTGAACACACCAGCAGTGTGAGGAGACCTGAAAGTGGCACATGGCAGAGTGTGGCGATGGAGACAGCAGCAATGGGAGGCCGTACAGGGACCCATGAGAGACTCTGGACCTGGCAGCAGCATGAGGAGGCGGTACAGGGGCCCATGGCAGATTAGGGGCCTGGCAGCAGCTATGGGAGGCCCGTAATCTGCCAGCACCCTATGACAAAAAATGGAACACCCCACCAGCAGTGTGAGGAGACCTGAAAGTGGCACATGGCAGAGTGTGGCGCGATGGAGACAGCAGCAATGGGAGGCCGTACAGGGACCCATGAGACACTCTGGACCTGGCAGCAGCATGAGGAGGCGGTACAGGGGCCCATGGCAGATTAGGGGCCTGGCAGCAGCAATGGGAGGCCCGTAATCTGCCAGCACCCTATGACAAAAAAATGAACCCACCAGCAGTGTGAGGAGACCTGAAAGTGGCACATGGCACAGTGTGTGCGATGGAGACAGCAGCAATGGGAGGCCGTACAGGGACCCATGAGACACTCTGGACCTGGCAGCAGCATGAGGAGGCGGTACAGGGCCCCATGGCAGATTACGGGGCCTGGCAGCAGCAATGGGAGGCCCGTAATCTGCCAGCACCCTATGACAAAAATTGGAACCCACCAGCATGTGTGAGGAGACCTGAAAGTGGCACATGGCACAGTGTGGCGATGGAGACAGCAGCAATGGGAGGCCGTACAGGGACCCATGAGACTGCTACTGGACCTCCTGTGCACACCGGCACAGCATACTGGGAGGCCTGGTGGTAGGCATGCAGTGCCTCCGTGGCCGTTGCCTCCACTGACACTGCTTGACCCACCAGCAGCCTCCTGGGCAAAAGTGGCCCACCGACTGTTTTGCTCGCTGCCAAGCTGGCACCCTCTTCTCCTGATGATGCGGAAGCAATAGCCTGATGACGACGAGGCTGCCAAGTGCGATCAGCCCATCATCATCATCAATTAGGGTCTCCAGCCTCACTACTAGCCCCCTCCAGCTGCTGCGTGGGTCAGGAGACAGACCTGTCTCTAGACCGGCTACCGAGCCACTCTCCTCGCCATGGCTTACTTCTTCGCCTGGCTGCTGAAGAGGCGGATGTCTCCCCCCGTTCCTGACCGCCCTCTGTTAGCTCTTCCTCACTGTACAGTGGGGCTGAGCCCACAGCATGCGATACTTCGCTTGGTGAGGGAACACCAAAGGACAGGGGCAGGTAGAGGACACGTGATTTCAGTGGGCTTGCTCCCGGGGCCCATGCCAACTAACGGTTGTGTCTGACGTACCCACCGACCGTTGGCTGTAGGTGTCAGAGGTGACCTGGGAAGAGGAAGACGACCCGAGTCCAACCAATCGATGACGGCAGGGTTGTCGGTGGAGACACGACCGCTGGATGACACCGGGAGCACTGGCCTCTGGCTGCGACTAGTGCTGCCTCGACCCCTTCCTCTGCTGCCACGTCTGCTCGCTCCTGAAAACATTGCCTCCTCTGCCACTCCTCTGCTGCGTGTTGTCTGACAAGCCTCTTTAATTCAACGATTCTGTGTCCCTGAGTGACAATGAACGATTCTGTGTCCCTGAGTAACAATTCTGAGTCTGTCCCTGAGTAACAATTCTGTGTCCCTCAGTAACAATTCTGTGTCCCTGAGTAACAATTCTGTGTGTCCCTGAGTAACAATTCTGTGTCCCTCAGTAACAATTCTGTGTCCCTCAGTAACAATCTGTGTCTGTCCCTGAGTAACAATTCTGTCTGTGTCCCTCCTGAGTAACAATTCTGTGTCCCTGAGTAACAGTGTGTCCCTGAGTAACAATTCTGTGTCCCTGGCAGCAGTAACAATTCTGTGTCCCTGAGTAACAATTCTGTGTCCTGAGCTCAATCTGAGTAAACAATTCTGTGTCCCTGTAACAATTCTGTGTCCCTAGTAACAATTCTGTGTCCCTCTGAGTAACAATTCTGTGTCCCTGAGTAACAATTCTGTGTCCCTCAGTAACAATTCTGTGTCTGTCCCTGAGTAAACAATTCTGTGTCCCTCAGTAACAATTCTTGTCCCTCAGTAACAATTCTGTGTCCCTGAGTAACAATTCTGTGTCCCTGAGTAACAATTCTGTGTCCCTGAGTAACAATTCTGTGTCCCCTGAGTAACAATTCTGTGTCCCTGAGTAACAGTTCTGTGTCCCTGAGTAACAATTCTGTGTCCCTGAGTAACAATTCTGTGTCCCTCCCTGAGTAACAATTCTGTGTCCCTGAGTAACAATTCTGTGTCCCTCAGTAACAATTCTGTGTCCCTGAGTAACAATTCTGTGTCCCTCAGTAACAATTCTGTGTCCCTGAGTAACAGTTCTGTGTCCCTGAGTAACAATCTGTGTCCCTCCCTGAGTAACAATTCTGTGTCCCTCAGTAACAATTCTGTGTCCCTCAGTAACAATTCTGTGTCCCCCCAGTAACAATTCTGTGTCCCTCAGTAACAATTCTGTGTGTCCCTGAGTAACAATTCTGTGTCCCTCAGTAACAATTCTGTGTCCCTGAGTAACAATTCTGTGTCCCTGAGTAACAATTCTGTGTCCCTGAGTAACAATTCTGTGTCCCTGAGTAACAATTCTGTGTCCCTGAGTAACAATTCTGTGTCCCTGAGTAACAATTCTGTGTCCCTCAGTAACAATTCTGTGTCCCCTCAGTAAACAATTCTGTGTGTCCCTCAGTAACAATTCTGTGTCCCTCAGTAACAATTCTGTGTCCCTCCCTGAGTAACAATTCTGTGTCTGTCCCTGAGTAACAATTCTGTGTCCCTGAGTAACAGTTCTGTGTCCCTGAGTAACAATTCTGTGTCCCTCAGTAACAATTCTGTGTCCCTCAGTAACAATTCTGTGTCCCTCAGTAACAATTCTGTGTCCCTCAGTAACAATTCTGTGTCCCCTGAGTAACAATTCTGTGTCCCTGAGTAACAATTCTGTGTCCCTGAGTAACAATTCTGTGTCCCTGAGTAACAATTCTGTGTCCCTGAGTAACAATTCTGTGTCCCTCAGTAACAATTCTGTGTCCCTGAGTAACAATTCTGTGTCAATTCCTGAGTAACAATTCTGTGTCCCTCAGTAACAATTCTGTGTCCCCTCAGTAACAATTCTGTGTCTGTCCCTGAGTAACAATTCTGTGTCCCTGAGTAACAATTCTGTGTCCCTCAGTAACAATTCTGTGTCCCTCAGTAACAATTCTGTGTCCCTGAGTAACAATTCTGTGTCCCTGAGTAACAATTCTGTGTCTGTCCCTGAGTAACAATTCTGTGTCCCTGAGTAACAATTCTGTGTCCCTGAGAGTAACAATTCTGTGTCCCTGAGTAACAATTCTGTGTCCCTGAGTAACAATTCTGTGTCCCTGAGTAACAATTCTGTGTCCCTGAGTAACAATTCTGTGTCCCTCAGTAACAATTCTGTGTCTGTCCCTGAGTAACAATTCTGTGTCCCTCAGTAACAATTCTGTGTCCCTGTCCCTGAGTAACAATTCTGTGTCCCCTGAGTAAACAATTCTGTGTCCCTGAGTAACAATTCTGTGTCCCTGAGTAACAATTCTGTGTCCCTGAGTAACAATTCTGTGTCCCTGAGTAACAATTCTGTGTCCCTGAGTAACAATTCTGTGTCCCTGAGTAACAATTCTGTGTCCCTGAGTAACAATTCTGTGTCCCTCAGTAACAATTCTGTGTCCCTCAGTAACAATTCTGTGTCTGTCCCTGAGTAACAATTCTGTGTCCCTCAGTAACAATTCTGTGTCCCTCAGTAACAATTCTGTCTGTCCCTGAGTAACAATTCTGTGTCCCTCAGTAACAATTCTGTGTCCCTGAGTAACAATTCTGTGTCCCTCAGTAACAATTCTGTCTGTCCCTCAGTAACAATTCTGTGTCCCTCCCTGAGTAACAATTCTGTGTCCCTGAGTAACAATTCTGTCTGTCCCTGAGTAACAATTCTGTGTCCCTGAGTAACAATTCTGTGTCCCTGAGTAACAAATTCTGTGTCCCTGAGTAACAATTCTGTGTCCCTGAGTAACAATTCTGTGTCCCTGAGTAACAATTCTGTGTCCCTCAGTAACAATTCTGTGTCCCTCAATGTGTCCCTCAGTAACAATTCTGTGTCCCTCAGTAACAATTCTGTGTCCCTCAGTAACAATTCTGTGTCTGTCCCTCAGTAACAATTCTGTGTCCCTGAGTAACAATTCTGTGTCCCTGAGTAACAATTCTGTGTCCCTGAGTAACAATTCTGTGTCCCTCAGTAACAATTCTGTGTCCCTGAGTAACAATTCTGTGTCCCTGAGTAACAATTCTGTGTCCCTGAGTAACAATTCTGTGTCCCTGAGTAACAATTCTGTGTCCCTGAGTAACAATTCTGTGTCCCTGAGTAACAATTCTGTGTCCCTGAGTAACAATTCTGTGTCCCTCAGTAACAATTCTGTGTCCCTCAGTAACAATTCTGTGTCTGTCCCTGAGTAACAATTCTGTGTCCCTCAGT